TATCAGATGTGTGGAAAGGCTTGTATGAAATATGTTGTGTACGATTAATAATAAATAAAGTGTCTACGATTTGTCATGTCGCTGAGGATGGGTTATTTGCAACAACAATTTCAATTCTGTCATCATCAACGGTTGAAGACGACCAGACCGCTTGCTTCTTCCAAAACAAAAGTTTTCCTTTTGAACCGAGCAAACCACTACAGACTGTGGTATGCACATCACAATTTTCCAAGAAGTCTGAACTGCGATATTCCCTTTGCAATAATAAAACTTTTAACGACAAAAATGTATAGTTTTTCCGCTGCTTTAAATTAACAAAATAATTTGTAAAAATACGCAATCTCGAATGAAACTGAAGAATAAAAAAAACTTTTCAGAGTGTGCAAACAATAATAACTAAATAAACATTGCTTCAAAATACAAAGGGATAAAATCGAATTATTGATAAACGGTAAGGAACTATTTTACAACCCAATTTTTAACGAAATGTCTGTATTAATCATAAAAATCAAGCATGAGGCTAATGTGGAAGAAAAAAAAACTCAGTTCCTTCGTCAAAATGTCGCGCAATATTTCCCTTTCATTTGAACTATTACTAATGGTTTGTACAATTATTAGAATGGTAATTGTAATGAAAAATGTACGGCTGGTAGATCTAGTCTACTCTACTAACCTAAATCATTATGGTTGATGCCATAATTTTTAATACTGTACGTAGGAATTTATATTTGTTCACTGTGTGAATCATTAGAAATAGTTTTAAAGTTCTAACGAAGGGGTGTATTCTTTTAAACCTTGATGAAGGAACCAATCATACAAAGAATATAATTATATTTTTAAACGGTTTTAAGAATTTATCGAACAGCACATCAGACCATTCTTAAAAGTTGGTTAAATTAAAATCCGCATTTTGCTCCGGTTGTACGAGACTGGTACCACTGCGTAATTTGCATCTCAGCTTTGCGTATTCATGAAATTGAAAAAGTAAAATCACAAATATAATATTTAAACGTTAAAATACCGTCGGAAAAGGAGAATAACGCAGGATGTGAATTTATTCTAACAGATAACTCCTGTGTTATTAATTGGATAATACCTGGTCGCAATTTTCCCCCCTTTGAAGTCAACTTTTCGGCCGAAATCGGCTGTTCTACTACGCTCGGTGGAAAGTAATTTCGCCGATAATGGTATAAAATTTCTTTAATATTTTCCAATAAAGTATATCGAGAGCTACACAGAAAACTCACTTTTTATTAACTCTAAATCTCTGAATCTGACAAGAATGTGCTTACTTTTATATATATATATATATATATATATATTGGTAATTAGGATACCAGGTTTGGGAGTTGTTAACAGTGGGTCGCTGCGTTTTTCCCAGAAATTTCTTTTGTAAACATGGTTAAGGGCCCATTTTTCATTTCCAGTTATCAATCTTTTTAATAACGAGTTCTTTACATTGCATTTTAGGATGGTATCGCAGATTGAGATGCGGTCAAAATAAATTCTTTTCAGTTAAAAAGTGACCGGATATCGCTCCGACAAACATATCCAGGTGCTATCAGATGTGTGGAAAGGCTTGTATGAAATATGTTGTGTACGATTAATAATAAATAAAGTGTCTACGATTTGTCATGTCGCTGAGGATGGGTTATTTGCAACAACAATTTCAATTCTGTCATCATCAACGGTTGAAGACGACCAGACCGCTTGCTTCTTCCAAAACAAAAGTTTTCCTTTTGAACCGAGCAAACCACTACAGACTGTGGTATGCACATCACAATTTTCCAAGAAGTCTGAACTGCGATATTCCCTTTGCAATAATAAAACAACTTTTAACAACAAAAATGTATAGTTTTTCCGCTGCTTTAAATTAACAAAATAATTTGTAAAAATACGCAATCTCGAATGAAACTGAAGAATAAAAAAACCTTTTCAGAGTGTGCAAACAATAATAATTAAATAAACATTGCTTCAAAATACAAAGGGATAAAATCGAATTATTGTTAAACGGTAAGGANGCAAGATGGGTCGAAACTAATCCCAAGTCATTGTTTCCCCACAATAACTTTTGTTATATATTTGTTTGAAAAATTTAAACACCCCCCAAGCACTTTTTGTTTAGCGAGCACCACAGAGTCTAGGGATTGGGCCACTAGGATAGGAAAACGACCTAGGATTCCTCCTTTATTGAATTACCTTTTTTCATTTTCCCAGGTCGGAAATAGGATCATACATTACACACGTCCTCGTGTACTTCCGTTTAGATAAAAAAAATCCTTGACGGCGGATCACGTTGCCATAAACGATTTTAAGCCTTTACTGAGATTTTGTCGTTTTATTAATTTTGGCAGAATGAGAATTAAAAAGGTTAAGTTTTTTTGTTAATTAACAAAAAACACCAAAGAAAATTTTTTGTCAGGTATACAAAAAATATTCAATTGGATTTATTTTTAGCTTAGAACGTTACGAAATCTTAAACTTTGCATAATTGTTTGTCGAAGTGGTAATAGCGGACAAAATTGAAATACGGTAAATTTACATGAAGTTGGAATCAAAATTCCTTGATTACGAGCTTCTCCTGTTGTGGTGTCAGGTCTAATGAAACCACCCTCACAGCACGTTGAAAGTTTAGTGACCCCACAAAGCTCGAGATTGCATAATCAAGAGGTGAAGACAAGTTTGATTAGAAACCTACCGACTTTTATAACATGGGTGTTATTTTTAATACTAATAAAATAAATCATTTGAGAAACTTTGAAATTTGTAATTACATATTATCGATCTCCTGCTGGTTTGTATTTTAAGTATACAAAGAAAAATCCTATATAAATCATATAGTGTAAAAGGTAAATAAATGTACGCTAGTTTAGTATATTAAATGAACAAGATTGCCTGTTTTACAGGCGGAAATAAATGCTTGTACAAAAAGGGCGATTTCAAATTAGATTGTAGTGGAATGTTTTACGTCGGGCATGGCAAACAGAATCATTTATGATAGGGATCGGGTAAAAAAACTAAAGTGATCGTTATAAAAACCACTGCTTTGAGTGTGGCCATTTAGATCCTGATTGACTGTTCTTGTACATGTTAATAATCCCGTCACATGTTGACAAGGATTTCACTAATGTTTTTTCAAACATGCTGACCCTTCCATCAACATTTTAAATAATGTTAAAAGTCCTTACTGAACGAAGATAAATGTACAAAATGCATCAGGTGAAGAACACCGATTTGTATTTAACGATTGTAATCTGGTTGCATCTATACTGAACGGCATGCTAAACCACCCTTTGAAACATTTCAGAAATTGCCTTTCTTAGTTTCTGCGGTCCTTTGGTTTCATAAATCACTTTCTTACTTTATTTGTTGGCTATGATTTAGATTGCTTGTTTTAGCTTTCCTTCATGCCCTTCCTGTCACTTTTGTGCCTAAGTTGGTAGATGTCTGTCCTGGGAGGGAATATTCAAGTCAGGTATTTGATCTACACCCGTCTCGTAAATCATTCGTGAGCCGTCAGACTTCTGTTAGGACTGAGTTCCATGCGCGATGATTTCTTTAATCGATATTGGTAGGGCTAGTCAGAATATAACATGGAATAGCGTTGTTAGCACGACCTGCAAACTTCATTGTTACATAATTCTCCCTCGCACCAACAAAAGGAATCATGTCATTACCGCAGGAATAATGAAACTAATCTCTTAGTTCCCTCCTCTAAGTTCCTATCTGGACCCATATCCAAACTGGAAAGGAATAAATTTTATAACAATCACCCAAATTCGTCTTTCTATGATCTTAATATTAATCTAGTCATGTAATTTTTTTATGGTGTAGCACAAAAATATTTTATATAATGACACTATAACATCACCAAAGATTTATCAGGCTTTTGGAATAATGAATTTTAAGCTTTGGCTATATTAGAACCTGATAAAAGGACGAATACACAGAGAAACATACTGGGCGTGGTGAGATACCAAAATGCTCTCACAAACAAAAATCATCGAGGATTGTAAGAAAACATAAAATAAATATAAAAATAATAACAATAAACTTAAATAATAACAACAACCTTATCTTTCTCCCATAGCGTCTTTCGTTGGTTTCACTCTTTTTTTCGGACCGTTCTTATGTAGTCACCATCCCAAATAAGCCCTTCTCAATCCATCATTTCTGCAGTCATTCAAGGCTCAAGCAACTCCGCTTCCATTTTTTTCTGTTACATTAATGACTTCCCTAAATCAATATGCGGACGACCCACAAATTAACCTTTCCTTCCCACCCACTGACGTACAAGTTGCAATTGTGAGAATTCAGGAGGACTTATATTCCTGGGGTTACCTGGAACGTTGAAAGCCCCAGACAATCCTTTCCTCCGAAGGCCACCCTTTCCCCTTTAGTACCAAAAGTCAACTTCTTTAAAATTGGACATTAATCCTTCACCAATATTTTACGACACTGTTTTTCCGCCCTCTAACCTCTTTCCAAACTATCACACCTGGAGTACCTCAAAGACAAAAGCGGTGACACCGTGACTGTCCCTTAGCAAGAGGTAACACTGTACGAATTAAAAAGAAAAAGGTCCGATCGGACAATTAAAGAATGAATCAATTAGAATAAATGAAAACAGACCTAATCCACCAAAGGCACTGAGAAACAAATATAACGCCACACGCATCCCACTCCTCACGACTTTATAAAACAGGCATTACTTCTGACTGACCAACACAATATTGTAAAATATTTCCTTTGGATATTTTGTCAAATTATATATTTTTCCAACCAGTTTAATTTTTTTAATGTAGAAACTGCGAGTTTAGCCACTCTCCTTCAACTTTTTTATATGACCCCAAGTCTTTACACGAATAGCTGTGTTGATAGTTGTAACATTTTACTTGTAACAGATAAACATTTCTTCTTGGAAAAAACTACTTGCATCTGTATATAAATATTGTCAAAAATGTCCTAGTTCTGATTAAGTAATAACACTTCACTTTCAGGACGCTCTTATTAAAAGACTGGGACCAAACGCACATCCTTTTACGATGGAGGTGACACACCTAGCGCCGCCGAGCGTCCAGCTGGTGCCAGCCAAGAAATACAGCGGTGCTCCGATCGGAACGAGCTACGATGTCAGAGCCTACGCCGGTGAGTATTCTAAAAGTGTTTTCCAAAAGTACTAAAATTGACTAAGTTTGTCCTTAGCCGAACGAGCAGACGAAAAGACGCATCGAAGGAGCACGGTGCGAATGGGGATCCGCGTCGTCCAGTTAAACGGTACAGTAGCCAAACCGGGACCGGAAGCCGTCATCCCACCACACGCCACAGTGGAAAAACCGTTCCTCCTAAGCGACGGTAAAGTCGAGCTGGAAGCCTCCTTAGACAAAGGACTTTACTGTCACGGCGACCCGATTGTGGTCAACATGGCTGTCCACAACAACTCGAGCAAAACCGTCCGAAGGATCAAGGTAGCAAAAGTCAGTCACATCCCTGATCAATACAATATTGTGAAAGCATGGTTGTTGGCAACAAGTCGAACAAGAATTGGCACACTGAAAAAAAAAAAAAAAAAAAAATCGACCCCCACTTGCACCTGATATTACATGTCTGATTTTTAAATATAATCTCGGCAAAGTGTGGTGTTTGAAGCAATTAAAAAAATAGAAACGCCCTATTTAATTGATTAGATAGATGAGCAGTCCTTTGAGGTTCATGGATGTACGGAAGTAGATTAGCTCATCTCTCAATTTAAATTAATTATACTTTGAATCTAATATCTTGATCTCTAACCACTAGAGCTATCATGACTTCGATCCACTCGGACATCAACTCGTCATCTCAGCCTTTCGAATTTTTCATCTTTTTGCCGTCTCTCTATTTATAGCTCAACCAAAACCACTCAGACCTTTAGAACGAAATCCATTCATTTACGCCATATATCTATTTTTTCGCAGCACAGAAAATCAATTTTACTGTTTGTTAATTTATTTGATTAATATCGCCAGATCTACTTTACAAGCTTTCATGCTCATCTCAACGGCAAGAAAATACAGCTGCCTTCTAAAACGCCTTAAAATTTCATCAGGATTAAGAATTGTCATGGAAATTTTAAGAAAAGACCAAAAAAGACGAGAATAAAAAATTAACGTTAATAATGGAGAAGTGGAATAAGGCGTTCCTGGTGATGACTTAGAGCAGATAAATATTAAGAATTTACCCTAAGGATTTAGTTATGGAGTTTCGTTCCCATGGCAACTATAGTTACAGTATTTTACAGATATTCTGTCTATTGTTCATATTTCGTTTGAAATCAAATATGACAAGGGCATTTTTGAATGTTTGTCGCAATCAGCAGAATGGTATATAGTGGATTTTTATCGATTAAAGCTTCAAGCAGGTCCTCTTGAGAAAAATCTCCTCTCTAAACTTGGCCAACCAACCCTGGCCCACCCACTCTATAGCATATCCCACAATATTTTCTTTCGACTAATATTTTTCCGAAACTAAAACAGATTAAAGGAAAAACTTTGATTTCTTTTTGCCAATATTATAGTAAAAATGAAATGAAACTTATTGAAGTTTTATGTGATGTACGATAAGGATCTTCGAATTTCTTCTAGTATCCAGCAGGTCGATAATCTATTTTCATCGTTATCTTCGAATTTATTTTGTTCTTAAATATAAGACTTATTTTCTCTTCGTTCTACTTTCAGAAATAAACAATAACATTTCCAGCATTGAATCAATATTTCGGTTTTGTAAATATGTTGTTGTTTTTTCCTAGAGGGTTTCAGATTCTTGCGCGGCCTGGATTTTGAAGGGTCGTCAAAGTTTGGCATCATAAACCTTGCTGAAAGGTCACATTATTCGCCGAACTAAATCAATTCTAGACCCACCTATTCTCGCTGTGGGTCGTTTGTGAAGGCTCCTGGAGAATAATAATAGGGGATGGGTTTGACGCAATTGGAGATATGATAAACATTCCCTGATGGCCATAAATCGAAGATCGCCTTTTTTATCGCACAATGGGAATTTATAAACTTAAAAAACTGTTTACTAAAAAAGAAATTAGTTTTCATAAATTTTCTTTACCCGTGAAATTTTAATAATGGGTTGTAAAAAAAGTCGTAGCAATTTTCAATCATTTCATTTTATCCCTCTTGTGTTTTTAAGCGATGTTTATTTAATTATCATAGTTTACACCCTCTGAAAGAATGAACCTAAAATGCAATGTAAACGACCCATCTTTAAAAAGATAATTGGCGATGAAAAGTGGGTGAAAGAGGATTAGTTTAGGTTTTTATTCGTCAGTTTCGTTCGAGATTTCATATTTTTATGTGATGTTTTGCTAATTTAAAATTAAAAATAAAGCATTTTCGTCATTTAATGGTTTAAAAAAGAAAATCGCAGCTAGGACTTATAGGAAAGTTTTGATGTGTAAGATGATGATGCTTTAGGAGAAAGTGGTTTCCTCGGTTCAGAAGATGTAATTTTGATTTGGAAGGCGCTAAGCGCTCTGGTCGTTGGCGCTAATCATTGTAAGGTAAAGGTCCCCCGGGTTCGAATCCAGCGGCCCAAGGTTCGAACCCGACATTCTTACAAATGAAATATTTTCCAAAATACCGACACCCCGAGGGTTCATATAACCTCGTAGTAGGAATACCCTCGAAAACAGACGCTTTTGTCACGAATAAACCATATTTAACGACACGAAAAATCGCAGAGACACTTAAAATAACCCATGAAAGCGTTTTCTGAGAGCAGCTGGATGTGTTTGTGTCGGAGTGATATATGGGTTCCTCATGTTCACATATTGACAGAAGAATTCATTGGGCCGCATCTCAATCTCCAATTCCTCCTAAAATGCAATGTAAAGAACCCATTTTTAAAAAGATAACTGGCCATCAAACGTGGGTCTTTTCCAAATAGGTCCATATGTCATATTGGATATCTGATACTAGCAATAAAATAAATTTCGGTTTAAGTTAAAAGTAAGCCTTACATTTGGACGAATAGCTTTAGGGTTTTTCCTGGTTTACAAGGGCTTAGAGTAATTATTAGTTAGTATTTCATTAAATAATCACTTACCTAACTATCTGGTTAGTTATTCAGATATCGTGAGATGCGGTCGGGTGAAGTCTCAGAATATCTGAATAACTATCGATTAACGGTCACTTATCTCTACACATATCTGGTTAGTAGTGGTGCACATATTTTCTACGTGTGACCACTAATGGTTAGTGTTTAATGAAATAACAACTGCCATGAAAAGCCACTTGTCACTAACAGCATTAACACCTGCTGTAGACAGTATCTACTTGTCATCAGTAAATAGAAATCATTTCCATCTAGTGTTTACACGCGAGTGGTTAGTACTAACCTTAAATAAGTTGCAAGAAAACGCAGTCTGTTACATTCTAGTAGGCTTAAATTTTTTTATATGTAACATTTGTTTTATAGGGTTTGTCCAGCTTATGCATGCATTGTTTAAGTACTTAATGTCAAATCAAAACTAATCTTTCTGAATTTGTGTTCTGTTGCAGGTTTTCATAGTACAACATGTTGACGTGTGTATGTTTTCGAATGGAAAATTTAAAAATGTCGTGGCCATGATAAATAACAAAGAACAGTGCCCGCTTGGGCCGGGAGTGAGCTTGAAACGGTCTTACACGCTTAATCCTGCCAAAGGGGCGACAAAGAACTGGATCGCTCTCGAAGACTCGTATAGCAAATCCAACTCTTCCTTGGCATCGACTGTCGTCTGCCACTCCCAAGAGGAAAGGAACGTTTTTGCGATTTATGTGTCTTATTATGTAAAGGTGAAGGTGTTTTTGGGCCCGATGGGAGGAGAGTTGTCTCTGAAGCTTCCGTTCACCCTCATGCATTCACCATCGGAGCAGGACCCGACGACAACGGAAGTCACCGTGAACACCGAATCGGCACCGGCCCCGAACAAGGAAGACAAACCGGAAACGCAAGAATTGGAAGAGAGTAAGCCGAATTTAGACGACATCAACACCTGAGGGTCGCTTAACCGGATCGACATAGAGCAAACCCCATCTCAGACACAACCGGCACAGCCAACAAAAAGAGGGAGCATCGTGAACGAACTCCGCCTCCATAGGGCTTTCTGCTGTTTTGCTATCAGACAGTCCTCTCAGTGACACCGGAGGAGGGCCTAGGACATTGCTACTCATTCTCGCACATCGATCTGGTTCAAGCTGTCAATTCTATGTATAATAATATGGTTAAATAAAATTTAAAAAAAGACAAAGAAACAGAGAGGCACATGTCCTTCAACATTTTGGCGGATAATTCACGATTGTAAATATGTTCTATATGTAAAAAAAGTAACAAGAAACAGTTTGTACACTATTACCATAATTATATATGATAAGATAAAAATAATAAGTATAACAAATCTTATAGTTACTAAAACAACAATACCTAGTGTTTTATCACTTCTGAAGCAAATACATAACACCATTGTTAATTAAAATGGCGAATCAAAGACTCAAATGTTATAAAGTAAAATTTAACAAAAAGAAAAGACAATTTTTATTTATTTATTAAAACAAATATAGAATAATTGAAATTTAGATTTCATCAAATATATCAACTAGTCAATTTGGTGGATCAATTGAAAGCTAATATTTTTTCATAATTTGAATACAATTACAAGGAATAATTTTAATATTGCCTAATATAAGATATGCTAGCTTTATTATTATTGTTATCTAATATTTTATAATATTAGATATTATAAAATAAAAAAATATCATCCAATGATAGAAATAAACATTTCATTCCAAAAATTGAAACAGTTTCTTCACAGCACAGAAATTACGACAAAGTTTAAGGCGATATGTAAAGAGCTTTGAAAATGAGAAAAACACAAGGAGCCACAAGTAATTCAACTTTGTCCACCAGGAGCATTTCCAAATTGGAATTAATGTCAAATAAAAACGGGATAGTTGGTCACTTTTCTTTGGAAATTCTATTAATTGGTGTATCATTTTTGAACCTTTTTTATGTTATCGTACTATGAAACAAGTTAGATGACGTGATTTTTAACTATGTAAATATTAAATCCCAAATCGTGTAGTAAATTTGATTTAAAGTTATTTTTGCCCTGAGTCTCATTTCTCAAATATTACTTATTAACTATAAAATGAAATGAGGGAGTGAATTTATTTTTTTTCATATATTACTTCAGCTCCAGCATAGAAAAATATAGTTAAAATTAACAAACCTATTTAAGACTGATAAAGACAGACATTAAATGAAGAAGTTAAAAAAATGATAGCTTGTTACACTAGAATAAAAAAGAGCTACATCTCACAAGCCAATGTATATTTGTTATATTCAATAGGAATAAATAATTTTCTGAAAGGGCTTAATAAAAATGTAACTATCATTAAACGATTTTGTTCTTTATGTTTGTGGTTTTTGTGAACCCTGAAATTGACCTGTATACAATTTTTCTGTAAATTAATCAATACTGAATGTGGTTAAACAAAGAAATATGAATTTCTTCCTGTTGTAAAGCAATTACTTTGAGAAAAAATTTATGAATACTAAATGGAATAGAAAATATAATATATTAATATTAGAAATGATATTAATACATGTATATTTACAAAATTGTGTTTTCATCTATGCTTGCTCTTATTGCTTATTATTTTATTAATAATCTGTCCTCTGAGAGAAAAAAAAATATATTCGATCAGTCTTAATCTAAGAAAGATGCATTACAGCTTTGTCCCCACCCCACTTAAACCCTTGTCACCCATAAAACTATGAAGTCCTTCTAGGTCTTTGGCAAAAAATCCCATGGGAAATCACAGTTACCATACAAAGTCCTGAAGATGAAGATATAGTTATGTTATGTGCACTAAGGCATCTTCGTTTAAGAATAATTGGCCTACTTTTTATATTGAAAAAAGATACTTTATTTTTTAATTTTATTTTAAACAAAAACATAATCCTTCACGAGAAAAACGATGTAGCGAAAGAAGTTTTAAATTTTATTCTATGAAGTTTATTGAATTTATTACTACTCACCATGATAACAGCCTTCACGGTTCCCTCGGACAATTACCTTGGAAGGCTCATTGCCATCCGGGGTCTGAGGAGCATACACCCTGATCAGTACATATTTAAAGGTGCCCTCTGGGTCGATTTCTACATCAGGAACTCTCTGGAAGATTTCAGATGCCATTTTGTTAGCTCGCCTGAGGAAGAAACCTAAAATAAAAAATACAAATAATTTAATTTAGGTTAAAACATGAACCTACAGATGAAAATGTTTTTCTCTCAGAGGAAAGCTATATTCTATCAAACCCTTCTAATTAATTCTAATTTTTCTTTATTTACTGATTTGAAATTTAAAGGATGAGATTCTCTAGAAAAGTTTTTAATTATTTTTTTAAAATCTAATAGTAAGATTATTAACAGTTTTCTGAAACAATGTGATCTGAGATCAGATTATTTTCACAGGTTTTGTATCAGTGGTCACACTTGAGCATTTCACTGTGTTCTTTCTATAGGTCTGAAATTGTTGATGTAATGTGCTATATGCTACAAGTGCCTTTAATCAGTTCTGTAGGAATAAACTGACGATAATTTGTATAAATCATGTTTTCTTTCATCATTGTTACATTCTTTCTATAGGTTCTAATGGAAGACTAGGTTTATCAATGACAAATTACTTAAATGACTGACTATTTCCCCACTTCGATCAACATGATAAATTATAAATTTTTTATTTATCAATGTATAATTTTTGAATAAATTTACAAGTAAAATAAAATAATACTCCCTTATATTCCTACCTAAAAAGTGTTGGATTTCAAGCATCATGAAATAGGCAAGAACAGACACAGCAAGGGCGCCAATTATCACCAACATAGGACTTCTTTTCATGTTCAATCACTGGTTTTAAAATTTGTTATTATTTGTATGTTAATTTTTCTACATGCCAATATCCTCTAATTTTTTTTTTAAATATTCAACAAGAAAAGGACAAACAACTTGAACTGAGATATAGCAAAAATGAACAGGCCTAAAGGACAAGCATGCCAAAGAAATTAATAATAATCAAAAGTTGACTTTTTCATACTCGACAGCAAGTTTTAAAATAAGTATTTATAATTTCTATCTAAATTGACTGTTCTATGAAAATTGTCTAATATTCCTACATAAAAATACCAATACCTGAACCTGATGTTATAAAAAATGAACAAACTACAAAGCAAGGCGATGGTGATCATCTATACTTATTTCTACATGCAATCTACCATATAAAACCCAAATGTTAAACATATTAATCAATTAACATCCCAATTGAGCCCCGATCAATAACTTTTTAAACTGATAATGTGATGATCTTGTACTAATAGTGAAATACTTGAATTGTAAAGGTGATGCAAAAATGAGAAAACAACAAGTAAAGCCTTGCCAATGAAATTAATAACAATAATAAGGAATCACATTTAAAAACATCTTTGAAAAAATTATAAATTGTATTATTATTTATCCAACATCCCTGTATTTTATTTTATTTCATTCTCCATATTACTACGTAAAAGGACTCATATTAGATCAGAGAAGTTGGTGTAAAATAAACCAACAGAAAAACAGGAATGTCTGAGATACCAATGGCCAATAGTTCATTTCAAACATATTCAAATCATACAAGTGTATGTATCAATATGCTGGATGCTCATTTCATTTCCTTTCAATGGCTGATTGTAAATATCAGCATAACATGATCGCAAGATGCCCAGAGGGCCTGCTGAGTAAAGAAAAATGTAGAAACTGTGACTAAACTGAAAAATAGGGGATTACATTAAAAAATTGAAAAATTGGGGGAAAAAATGATTACACTGATGATCAATTCTCATTTCCCTATGCAATCTCAATTGCATATATAAAATAACAAGTTTAAAAAATTTATATTGTAATTTGGCAACCTACTCTGTATTTCTAAGACATTTTATTTTCCATGTTACCATATAATGAATGTAGTATACATGAAAATACTAATATTATTGGTCAGTGATGTCGGTGAAAAACTGATCAAAAACTTTCAAATCAAAATCAAAAACTGATGCAGGAATAAGCATTACTTTCCTTCATGAGGATAATCGATGATCACTCTATTGACAGCAAATAATAATAATGAAGGAAAGTAATTTACAATGCACAGGCTTAAAAAAAATGTTTCAAATTGAATTAAAATATTGAAATATTTGTGGGGTTTTTTTTAACGGCTATAGTTTAACAAAATTTAATCGATTTTATGAATGTCATAACAGAACCAGAGTGCCGAACTGAAGAAAAAGGCAAATTAAGGGCAGCAATAATTACATTGATGACCAATGCTCGTTTCCGTATGCAATCACAACTGTATAAAACGGTATATATTCAAAAATTGTATATGTATGTGTACTTTTCCTTCAGAACTTGATAATTTCAATTTACTGTGTAACTCATTGTTGTTATTTAGAAATCAACAACAAATTAAATTTTCATACTTTATTCAATTAAAGTTATTTCTCTTTTATTTTTAACCAGTTCAATTAATCATTCCATCAAAAAATGGAAAGGACTTTCAAAGTGAATGAAAAGAAAGGAGATTGCTTTGACAAAAAATTTAATCACCAGGTGGACCTTATAAAAATTCTAATAGAACCAGCAGATTCTACATGAAAAATTACATTTGGAACCATACTTCATTTTACAATAAAATAGGAGCATAAAAATAAAAGTGCTTGCCTTTGTTTGAATGTGCTACTATATTACAGTCGCATTTGAAATGTGACGTAGGTGGTTAATAATGATAAAATTGCAAGAAAAGCAAGCCTGTGATACCAATAATAATCACACTGATGACCAGTATTCCAAATTGTATGTATCAATTGTATTACAATTTGTTCAGCATCTCTGAATATATTTTTAAAAAAATTTGACGTTTGAAAATTGATTAAACTGCACAACTAGGTATATAAAGGACTTAACTAATGATCACACTAGTGACAGGAAATATTTAAGTTAGAGGTGAAATTAACTGATAACAGACAGTTTTAAAAAAACAATCAAAATTAAACTAAAATATTGAAATATTTGTGGGTTTTTTTATGGTTATAATTAAACAAATTTTGATTAATTTTATGGACGTCATAACTGAACCTGAGGGCACTTATATAAAAAAAATAATAATTACTGTGATCCTTAGTTTTTGTTCATGGGAAAGCTTAAAAAGAGAAAGAAAATGTGAGAAAATAAATAAAAAATCCCTATTAAACTATTTAGGCAATAATAAGACTACATTTATATTTAATAGAGAATCTTATACTTTAAAATAGACAATAAATCCTTTGCTTTTATCCCTAAAAATAAAGAAGATATAACTTTTTTCCGGGAAAAAATCACTTCCACCTTCTGATCGCCGGCTCCCGGCCGGGATCTAATTGTGCATAAAGTTTGACCTACACAAATTCGTCGTCCTACGCAAATAAAGGCTTGCCATCGACTGTCGGGTCGTGGAAATTTGGAAATTTAACAAATAAAATTGGAAATTTACCAGTATTTTCCTATTTTTCCGCCGGACCGGGAGGTTACTGCGGACAAACGACGGTTAACCGGGAGGCGAACATGAGGTTTTATATTTATGTTGTTATGCTCTTGTCACGTTTTTGACACGGGTACTGGTTTGTGTTTATGATCGGCTGGGAATCATGAGCAAATCTATCGCGGATGCTCCGACCGTCTGGAAACTCCTGAACGGCGTACTCTGCGTCTACAAGCCTTCTGGAGAAACTGTTCATAAAGTCAGGGGGACTTTACTTACAAAATTATGCGAAGGTAAATGTTAAAAATATTACTATTATTTCATACTATCTATAGTAATTTGTTGTACACACTCTTATTATTGTATGGCTGATGGAAATACTCGAATTCATTAATGCAATAACCCCCCTAACCTAGGAAAAAATGATTAATCTGAACTTGGCCAATGACATTTAACACATAAAATTACGAACATTATGTAAGTAATAATAATGGGGCTAGTCTTGGTGAAAAACCGACACAGCAGAGAAGGTTGCCTAGCTTATCAATAGGTTACCTAGCTTATCAATAGGTTACCTAGTGTGCCAACCCTAAGGAGAAAAAGTCCATCACAGAAACTAACGGTAGAACTACTAAACCAATATGAAGTAAATAGAAAGACTGCTGACTGGATACTACAGACTCCAGAGGCATGTGACCGACTCAGAGCAGCATAAACAAGCCTGTGCAAATGTTTTTAGGAAGGGGAAGAAACAGTGACAATGTCCTTTGTTGTTGTGAAGGCCTTTGCAGGATGAGACAGTTCATGATAAAAATTTTGGTACCTGATAAAATGTCCTAAGCTTAATCAAGAGCTCTAAGAAATATAGAAGATTGCCCACTGGCCAATATTGGTCACGTCATGCAAGGTCATAAAAAGGCCGACTCCTGGTTTTGGTTTATTTTAATATACTCTTTCCTAGGGTAAACACTAATGTATGTGTATGTGTATAAAAATGTGGTATTACACTGTAATTCAGTCTTAGTAAAGTGTTCAAATTGTTAAAAGCAACCTGCTTTATGAGTACAAACTAGGTAAAAATTGACTGAGGTTGTTTGCAATGCTTGGTGTTCGATAAGGGATGATACAAATTTTATTACAAAATTTATGATGACAATGGATCCCTTAAGCATGAGGCTTATTCAGATTCAAACTCTGAAGGTGACCTCTTCTGTTGTGCACCTTGTTAAAAAATAAATAAATAAATAGGCAGGAAGACCAGAGCAAGCATATTCATCACTTCACAGACCTCTACACTTTATTTATTTTTTCAAATTTTATTGCATTCCATTACAAGAATCTTTTTTCAACCATTTAATTTTTACAGAGCTGAATCAATTACAATGCAGGCCACCAAGGCTGTACAAAGAGATAGTTGTAAATGAAAAGAATGAGACATCAGTTATCGTACGACCAAGCTTTGCTGATCATCCGTTAGTTGTCGGTCCACGTTATCAGCAAGAAGACTTCAGATGTAAGTGGTCTACTTACCTCGGAAAAAACACTAGTGGTGTCTTAGGTAAATATATTTAATTTTGATTTAAAACTAAAATTTTAAAAAAAGTATAATAATTATGTTTATTTGGCTAGTTCTAGGATTAAATAATGGAACAAAGCAAGTGTATGCAATGCATAAAAGATATCCAATGAGAACATACCACTTGAGCGGATCGCTCGGCTATATGACTGACAACCTTTTTAAAGATGGAAAGGTCATTGAAAAAGATACTTTCACACATGTGAGGAGAGGTGGTTTGGAAAAAATCCTTATGATGATCCAAGCTTCTAATCAAAGGCAGATGTTCGAGTAAGTAAGAACTTTGCTTTTATCTTTTGTGTCATTAATGCTTTAATTTTTTAGACTTTCAGGAGTCGACATACAAAGCCAGGAAGCGTACGAACTGGCTTCGAGCGGATTGATAAGGCCTACAAAATCAGATGTGCCTGTTATATATAACATCAAATGTGTAGAATTTAACCCGCCTGATTTCACAATTGGTATATTTAATTTAAATTAGATTAAGAAACAATTATAAACGGGAAAATTATTTTTCAGAAGTGAATTCAATAAATGAGTACGAAGCTTATCTAATGGCTCTTATACAAAACATTGGGCTCCGACTTCATTCTCTAGCAACATGTACAAAAATCCAATGCATCAAATACTCATATTTCACATTGGATGACGCACTGTTGAAAAAACACTGGACCCTTCAGAACATAATTACAAGCCTTGGAAATACTCATCGAAAAAATAGTGCTAATGTCATTAAAGATCATAAAATTACAACTGTACAAAATGATGTTCGAATTTAGATTTTTTTGTTTCTGTGATAACGATCTTTTCAGGGAATGAAAATGTGTCATAACATTTACGTCTCTACTGTATAATATATATGTAAGATTTTATGGTAATAATAATTAAAAAAAAAAAAAAAAGTAGACCTGAAAAATATTTTTGTTTAAATATCAATCCTAAACAAAAAACACAGCCGTGTCAGCTAGTACTAAGAATCCATCACCACCCATACATAGCTCACACAGCCTTGTCAGCCAAAACCTGGAATCCATGCCATTCAAAGTTCCTAACCCTAAGGCAGACTGAATAGTGGCCCTAGCCATATCAGCTCGAGGTCTATGCCCTCGTCCATGGCTTCGTACACAGACACTCCAAGGCTCAAGATGAGGTCTCGCCACCCCAGGCCCATGTCAGTAAAGATCTGTAGTCAAAGCCTCCCTAGGTATGACCACCCAAGTTCCTAAACCAAGGCTTCTTCATCTGTTTAAGACAAGACAACCAGATACTGCCAGTGGAGATTCAGAGAGTTAAAATGCAAACCCTGCGTGATATTCAGAGTTAAAAGACAAACCCTGCATGATATTCAGAGTTAAAAATCAATCTGAATCCAACTGTCAGATAAGTGACACTCGTAACTTAGGTTTGGAGATGAAATCTTCCTGTAAGGAGTTCATAGTAGAAGAAGGTATAAAGGGGGGCTTACAAGACCCCTCGTGACAACATAACTCCCCCACATAAAGACTGAATGCTGATGATGAATAGAACAGATTGTAAGCCAGGGCCTGGAACATTTTTTTTTTTCATTAAACCCTCTTTCAAGACCACTTTACCGTACGAATTACAGTGTGGCATACAATAAAATGTGGTATGAACTGTGATATATAAAATTATTAAATTAAAAATTAGAGATAAAATGATTTAACTATATTGTCAAATAAATGAAAATTGCTGAATTAATTATTACTAAATTTAGAAATTTCCATTTTCCTTCAGTTTATCTATGATGTGTGGTCTTTGATAAGTTGCCAGAATTTATGATTTATGAACCCTGCGGCCTAATGATGAGTGTAAAACTAAAGATGAGATAATGTGTTGAATTAATAGAAATTATAAATGATGGGGTGAGTGTGGAGTTCAATCCTTTTTAAAAAAGATGGTTCCTACTCACATTAAGTTGTTTCGCAACAATCCGGATTGCGAGCCCTTTAGCTCATCGTCAGGTTGACGGGTTTCCACAAACACATCTCTCAACATGAATTGCAGAAGTGATTGATTGTGGAAACCCTTCAACCTGACGATGAGCTAAAGGGCTCAAAATCCGGATTGTTGCGAAACAACTTAATGTGAGTAGGAACCATCTTTTTTAAAAAGGAATGAGTTGAATTGTCCTAAAAGAAATAAATTGACAGACTTACTATTGCTGATTAGAGAAATAAATTTAAGATGATTAGAATATTGTATAAGAAAGAACATTAAATGGTTTGCATATCAGAAGTTGATAAATTTTTGTTGAAATGTGTCAACTAGTTCAAGCCCAGCTTTCAACTTTTCTTGATCAACTAAAGTTGAACGAAAAAGGTGAATCGTGAGAACGTGACTTTGTTTTTTGAAAACCGGACCAATTGACACATTTATTTGACTGGAATGAACATTGAAACAAAAAATTAGAGCTTACGCCATCAGACACCAAAACGACAAAGATAATGCCAATACTTTATTAGATTTAAATTTTTTTTTTTTTTAAAAGCACAGTTGTCTTGGCCACATGCGCTTGACCTTGACTTCTTCCATCTTGCAACAATGCTACAATTCTAACCTAATCTGTTAAAACCTTCTCTCAAATCTGAAACTTAGGAATGGTACAACTTAAAAAAATCAGACCAACGGAACATAGAAAGAAGCTTTAAAGGAAAAAAATTGACCGAGATTGACCCTAAAGCTCATAAGCAGCTATCAGCTATAAGACTGCAATGCAGGGATTAAGCATCCTTTTTATGAAGGCAGAGGACATGCCATTGTAATCTTACCACCATATCTTAATTATAGTGCGTATTTGACAGTAATTTTTGCTGTAATCTTAGCATTTTCAGTTTTGGTTTGGGTCACATGGTTTATGACATTAACAAACAGAATTACTTATTTTTAAAATGTTGATATTACATAAATGATTTTACATTTATGGAAAGGTATATGATTGTTGAAAAGCACACAACCAGAGCTGGTCAAAGATTGCTCACAGATGATGAATGTAGAATGGCTGTCTCCACTACTATAATATTAATAATTAAAACATCAAATTAAATTGAATTAGGAATTCCTTCTTTCCATTGGAACAATAGTGCATTTGTCAATAGTCCAAGTAATTTTTTTACCGTATTTGCCAGTTAGAGCCTTGTTTATTTTCTGACTACTCCAATAAATAAATACATAACTCCAATAAATCAGTATTTGAAAGAGGCAATAACTATTTAGATATAAAGTGATATTTAAACAGTGTATAAAATTGTTCCGCGAGTGTTAAATAGTGTGAAGATTTATCGGATTCATCATTGCAGTTGTTGGCGAGGATTGTTGCCTTCAGAGGGTAAATTTCATTTATGTAACATATACTGTTTATGTTGTCTACAATTATATAATTTTAACCTAATTTTTCTTTCTCAAGGAGGGGTTTACAATGTGTGAGCTAACTCTCTCTCTGCTGGCTCCAGGTTAGTGGTGCATGTTAGTATTAAGGAATAAGGCATGACTGTACGACTTTTTCAGCTAGGCACACATTTTGGTCAAAAATACATATATTCTATTGTGGAGCTCTTTTTTTTAATTTTTTTTTTGGGGGGGGTTTACGCTGGTATATTACCCATGAAGTTTTCTATTTTAATTTTACTGTCGAGCAGGATCATGGGCACGATCCCTCGGCGAAAAACCCCACCCCCGCCAACATCCCCCCGCCAGGGCAGGAGAGGAGGAAGATCCATATGGTTTTTCGCTTTTGTCTATTTGTTCAGTGTCCTCCTTGGAGGACATGGATAAAAACCAATAACATCGAGATAATTTTGGAAAAGTCCTCGTCTGCGAGGAAACTGGGGCTTACTCGCCCTGTCTCCCCCCTGTCCACCCCAACGGGATTGGCCGAACAGGACCAGGCCTCCGCCGTGCGCTCGCACCTACTCACTCAGCTCAATCATCTTCTAAATTTTAATGGTTGAAGATAATCAAAAAGTAACATTTATCGACTTTAGAAATCTATAGATTATGTTGAATGCTGCTGGATTGTTGCTTATTATAAACTAGAATAATAGAACAGATTCTAAGTTTATTGGTTAGGGAACGTTTGGGAATTTGCTCAGATTTTTTAGCAGTTTATCTCTTTCATTTGTGTATTCCGGGCATTTGAAAATTATGTGAGAAGGATTTGAAGGGAAATTGCAAGTGGGACAGTTCAGAGATGATGCCAAACCGATTCTCTTCTTGTAGCTACCCCATAGGCCATGATTTGTCTTCAGTCTAAAAATAGTAGAATAGAACTCCTTTGACATTCCTTCTGGGCTATCGCCTTCCGAAAACCATGGTTATCATGGAGTTATCTTAAACATATACAATACATATAAAAGTGTAAGCAAATAATAATCCCCCCCCCAGTTGGATGAACGAAAACTTTTATTTGTGTTTTTATCATAAATTATTATTGTATAAACATTTTTTATTACATCTGTAGACTTATTAGACTAGCCTTTTGTAAAAATAATTTTCAGCTAACTCTGGTATGGTAAATTTTTGTTTTCTCGTCAGGTCAGAAATAATTGTTAGACATGCAAGCAAGATATTTGATCAGAGTTGCTTTTACTTAAATAACGTGAACAATTATAAAACTACATAAATTCATATATTTTTAAAACTGCTTATTGCTATAATCACATTCTTTTTATGCCATTTGACTATTGTTCAAATTAGCAACACTTTTTTTAACTTTCCTCATCATTCCTTTTCATGACGCCTTCTTTCACCTATTCTACTTTCTTTTGATCTCATTTAACATTGGGTTGTAAGACAAATGATCAATTTCTGGTATATTGTAGCGTAATATATAATTTATATATCAGCTAATATAATCATTTTGGTTGCTTACAATCTGCTTCTAATAAAGGGAACGCATATATTAATAGAATTACTGTTGTTGGCAGCCTGACAGCATTGTTCTGGGAGTGTTGACAACTATATTTTTCCATCGTACTATACATTTGCTTTATAACTAACCTAAATAAGTAGTGATCTATACCTAAGCTGTTCCATAATCAACTCTCCTTCACAGAATACCCCCTCATTGGTATTATTATTCAGATATCGTGAGATGCGGTCGGGAGTGATGTAGGTTTCAGAAAAACATTTTCTTTATCGTGCCAACGTTTCGATCTTTTATTGAGATCATCTTCAGGGCCTGGGATTTACAAACAATGTTTACATTTAACAAATACATTTAGGATGTGGATAAGTGAATTTATACAATGCAAAATATATTTTATATTCAAACATTTTATATATTTTGCATTGTATAAATTCACTTATCCACATCCTAAATGTATTTGTTAAGTGTAAACATTGTTTGTAAATCCCAGGCCCTGAAGATGATCTCAATAAAAGATCGAAACGTTGGCACGATAAAGAAAATGGTTTTCTGAAACCTACATCACTCCCGACCGCATCTCACGATATCTGAATAACTATCGATTAACGGTCACTAATCTCTACACATTGGTATTATTATTATATTGGAGTACAGACTAACAGACCCAAGCCTTGATCACAAGTTTCTGCCCAGTATCTTGAGCCTTTGCTTTCCACCTAACTCATGGAGGTCACCAAACCAGTGCAAGTGACAGACCTTTGTATTATGAATGGGTATATAAAGAAAAGTATACATGCGCATAAATTATGTGTAATACAAGTAATACAGATATATAATAATAATTCAAAGCATGAAATGGTTAACATTATATCATTAATTGACCATACCAATAGCAATCTAACATACGTCTATCAGACTATGGATTAAAATTAAATCCTTGGTTCAGTGGGATTGTATTTCAGGAAAAAGGTATGCAAAAAGTTCATAAAAGGACCATTGCAAAACTAATGTCAAAACTGCCAAACCTAGATGTGGTAGGGCAAGAATGGCTTGATTGACTGGGCACTGCAGACTCAACACAGCAGAAACAATCCTATGCATACATTGCCAGAAAGGGCAAGAAACAGCAGAACATGTCCTCTGATGGTGCGAAGGCCTCTGCAGGCTGGGATTCTAACTCCTAAGAGAAGAAAAGCTCAATCCGGAAGGATATACATGGGAATCCTTGACAAAGCTTTGGGATCTGATAAAAAGTCTTAAGCTTAGCATATAACTCTAGATAATAATGGAGCATGCACAATAGGCCAATAGTGATCACGAATGTTAGGTTGTAAAGAGGATGACTCCTTTTAAATTTAACCTTAATCTTAACATCAATTCTGTACTATAAATTTGCATTTAAGAATGTAATATTCTTCATTCCTGACCGTATTTGTAAATAATTAAATAACAAAATTAACGTACAGCTAATGTATGGATAACTTTTTAAAAAACAATTAAAGCGATTTAAGTTATTTAAAAGTTCATTAAAAGTTAAATAATTTTGCTAATTATGGAGTTCCATAGAAAAAGGAGTACTATATTAAACATCTGTCTGTCTAATACATCATACTTATTTTGACTTTCTGAGTGGTCGAGCATCAAGAGTTATAAAATACTTTTGTAAATGTGCTGGTAATTGTATTCTATTCATATGTCAATACACTTGATCCATTGGGAGAAATATTTCTCAATTGCAAAAGAAACCATCGAAGCTGCTATACCAATGCTCCATATGAAAAATGCACCTCTCAAATTGTTGAGACTGAGAACCTGGGGTACTCCCATCCTACCTTTGGTCATACGCAACACCTCTTTAACATACGGTTGATGCAAAACGAGTTCATTTACTGCATGGTTCATCTCTTTCTCTATGAGACCACCGTTGTGGAACCTATGGATGAACTTTCTGAATGATTCTATGTACGGCGAGCCACGCCTGTTGGCAAAACTGAAAAAGTATTTCTGGTTGCAGTACGATGCTACTTCAAACTCCTCAAGTACTTCCTTATTGAAATGTTCTTCAAAAAAGAATGCTTCCTTGTACTGTTTTCCATATTTTACTAGTTTCCCTGACATCATCAGCCGCTCAACTTCTTCCTCTAGTGGAATTACCCTTAACCGTTTTGTCCACAAGTTTTGCCAATAATCCTTCAATCATAAAAATTATTCCTTACTTATTACAGTATAGAATGCTTCTACTTTCAGACAAATGTAATTTTTATTCTTGAACTTACTTCCTGGTTGAACATGACTTCCAAATCTGGCACAGTGCTTGTTGTCCAAAAGAAGCCATTGCGATAAAGGTCCTCGATTGTTTCTATTTTCTTGGTGTACCGAGGCGATGTTAAATTTGAAATTAAACCACTTGAAAAGCATGTCGTCAAGACAAAGCTAAATACTACCAGCCTATAAAGATATGTAGAACTGTAACTATTGTATTATAGTTTATTATTTTATATTTTATTATTGATTTATTACCATGTCACAAGCTGCCTCAGTGCTCCTCGTTTTGTCTTTAGTACACCACTTAACAGGAAAATAGAAATGACTTGTAACAAGCAGATCAAAAAATTGTGTCCTACAAATACATGATTTATTATCAATTTGCATACATTATACAACACAACAAGCATACAATACATTATATAAAAATGTATAAAAACCTTTGTCACTTTGATCCAATCTTGAGAACTTTTTAAATATTTGAAGAAGGAATGCACCAATAATTATGACAGCAATGATAGACATCCAAAGACTGCCTTGAAATGGACTCACTATATCATACCATTTGGTACTTAAGAGTTTTGGTTTTGGTACGAGCAATCTCATGCACAATTGTCCAAGAGGGTAGGACATTGTGATGCCCGAGACCTCTTTTGGATAAGTAATCCATAAGCCACAGATTGCAATGTCCACATCGCCTTTGTTGACCATTTTCAATACCCCACCTGACCATTTACCACGTACCAGCCTGCCCCATGGGTCTCCGTCACTTGGTACTTTTATTCTGTATGTCAGGTTTAGCCTTTTAAAAATTTCTTGTAGAAGTTTTATCTCTGCTCCTTTTGTAGCAGCTGTAATTGTTTTTGTTTTTAGCTATTCATTAGACCAGTATTAACCATGTTACTTACCTGCTTCACTATCACTGTCCATAGTTCCTAATTCAGAAAATACAGAGCAGTTGAAAGCTCCCACTATTATCTCTTTTCCTTTAAAATCAGATATTTCATATTCCTGGAACAAAAGATTTTTTTGAAAATTTTATTTCTATGAAAAAACATTTTTTTACCTCCTGTGACCATTCTCCTAGGGGGTAAATGATTCGAGTGAAGTAGGAATTTGGTTGGACCCTCTTGTAGAATGAAGGCTGAGAGCCCATCACAGCAATCAAGACTTCTGAATCTTTAAAATTACGATCAACTTCCTAATAAAAAGCAATAAAGTGTGCTAGACCATTACTGTGATTATTTTTCTGAAATTAGTTTTACACTAGCTTTTTCCTCTCAACCAAGACCTTGGATAAAAAGTATAACTAATTAAAATATTTAAAAACTAATCAAGCTTTCATGGAAGGAACTGAATGTTTTCTTTTAAAGTGGCCTTTCCATGATTTTACCATAATATTATCTATTTATTTTGAATTAGACTATTCTATGTTGAGAAAGTGAGGCAAAATCTATGTAATAGCTTGATTGTCTCTGATTGTCCACTTATGCCTATTTACTCTGTCTTTATTTACTTTTTGGCATTTGCCCATCTACAGTGGTTGTTCTTTGTGCATCCCAACGAGTACCTATTTTTTGTGTACAGGTAATGTAGTATGTTGATGATGTTGGTGATGAAAAGAATACTAGGAAGTGAGCGTTTCCCATACATACATCCTTTTGGCTTACTGTAATTTCCCTATACCTAGTAGCAGTTCCTAGTTCAGTTTATTGGACTCGATCCTTCTTTTAAGAAATATTAGATCACGGACTGTCAATTGCTGCAGGTTTTTTTTTTTTTTGGGGGGGGGGGTCTTCTTGATATCCTCAGTTACATTTTCATCGAGAAGTTGCTTCACATTGGAAGATAATATGGGAGGCAGTTTCTTCCTCCTCATTGAATAACCTACAAATGGGATCATCTTGAATATTCCCATGTTGTGTAGGTGTTTTCTCAGATACCAGTGACTTACATATAATCTTATTATTCTCCTGAGTTTTACCCTGCCTAACTGTATTAATGTGTACTATTTTTGGTAAGGGCTTTTTTTTTTTTATCATATTCTAATATGCCTGCCACCTCTATAATTCATCCATGTCTCCTTTTGTTTTATGTGGACCCATTCTGAGATGGAGGAGTCTGTTTGTTCTTGTTGCAGATACTTCATGTGCCATTTTGTCTGGTTGTTCATTACCCAGAATTCTGCACTGGTACCAACATATTGTTAAGTTGATATGTTTTCATAGGTTTTGGAGATTTGGATGAATTAATTGACTATTTTGGATTTGACTTTTTACTTTTAAATGTTTTTAGGGCTGCTTGGGTATCTGATTGTATAAGACTGTTTTTTATCAGTGTAACCCTTTTTATGATTTTATGTTGTATGTTAGGACTGATGTAGTGTCTGTTTTAGTAGTACCCAACCACTTTAGATGACAAAATCTATTTGACAGACAACATAAACAAGATAGGTAGGCCAGGTTAATCAAAGATGAGCAGGTTACAGAGTAGTATATAGATTGAATTTATAACTTTTTTATAAGTTTATTTTTATATTTGGTGTCTGTTTCTGATTATTTTATGATAATTACATTGAAATAATTACTTGTAGAAAAGTGTTGAGATTTGTATTCCACCCTCCGTCAATAAAGCAAACAATTCTGTTTTGAAAATGCAATGGAATCCTGGACAGTAAAATTTTTAAGTATTTCAAGTTCTTAGCTACCACAACATATCCATTGCAGTTATTTATATCAATGTTGATGCCATTTATGAAACTCCAAGTGGTTGCTATTTTGTACATTTGGCCCATTACATCTTGAGCTAGAGGTGACTGATCAGTTGTGACCTTAAAAATCATTAATTCTTTTGTTTCAATGATGATTTTTAGACAGTGATAATTTTAAGTAATTTTAATTAACTAGTAGTTTTTGTTTAATTTACCTGAACACACGAATGACGTCCAAACGCGTGCTTCAAAGTGTACCAAAGCGGCATGTACTGTTGGAACGGCTCATCCATCATTCTATAAAGGGAATTAACATTCGCTTCGGTGAGAAAAATTGTATGAAAAAGGACAAATATACAAAAGACAAGTTTTGCCATCCTTTCATATTAAGTAGAAGTAAGTTTCTACTGTGGTGAAAGTACAGATTGATTTTATACATTGTTAGCCAAGTTGTCAGTCATTATGACATAATCCAATAAGCAATTTTTTTTTAATGAAAAACCAACATAATTTGGAAAATAATAAATAATTAATGAGCAAATCCTGAGTAAACATTAGATAAGGAGGGCATACTTAAACCCTCTTTTGGATAATTAATTATACGTACCTTGTTACGTATATAAACAATCTTGATGCAGATTTGAAAAACTGTTTAAACATTTAATAAAGTAAATGGTGCAATTTCCTCTTTGATCATAAATGATAATCATGCTGATCAAACTTATATTACTCCTCTTCTTTCATCATGGATTACAATCCTTGAAATTTTTTTTAATTTCTTGACGAACATTGCAAATAATCATAAAATACGTATGTAATATGATCCCGGAAACACTCTACAACATCTTATAAAGTCTCAATAGATTACAAAGCAGAAGAAAATCCAGGAGAACATCAGATGCAATGATGTAGTTCCAAAACATAGTAATGAATGAATCAGGCGTTTTTTGTATAAGCCTAAAACATAAGCTTGCAAAGTTATTAAAAAAGTGCACCGTCTAGATCTTTCAAGGTGAAATACATGCCATGAATGCTTGTGCCATGGAAAATCTTAAAAGATATCAAACTGACTAAAAATCCTCATAAGGTTGGATAGCCAAGCATCTAGAAAAGCATTAGAAATCAACAAAATCACATCAAAACTAGTCAGTGAATGCAACCAAAAACTCCAAACTCTGGGTAAATACAAAACTTGATGATATTTTGGGAGAACACAAGAGAATTTTGTGTAACACAAAAGCAGGCACATTGGCCAGAGGAGGATCTGCAAGATCATATATAAGCCCTAAACATAATCTAGGGATAGCAAAAACAAACACAGTCATCCATCACAGAATGGATCTGAAAAGGACAAAGGAGAAATGGATAAACTCTAGGGAGGCTGACAATAAAATTATGTTAAAACAACTTTCATCAGATTGGCAAACTCACTGCTACATTATTAAACTCAGGGAAGTGATAGGACTATTTACAAGTCACTGGCATTTGAGACATCTACAGAACATGGGCACATTCAATGATTATGATTTGTAGATTATGCAATTAGGAGGAAGAGCCTTCCATCTTTGAATGCGAAGCAACTGCTGATTGCAGGCATAACCTGGGATACAAAGAAAATAGGGGAAAAGGAATTGTAGCACAAACAGTAAATAATCTAGTACTCATGAAAAAAAGATTTGAATTGACAGACTGAACAAAGGAACTAGGAAAGTAAAATAAGTTAGAAGGCTGAGGTGCTTGGAGAACTCCCACTTCCTAGTCTCATTTCATCATCAATGTATGCAATAATTCTTTCATTTGTTTGATTAAAATTTCGCTGTTATTTGCTTAAGAGTATTGGCTGTTTTTCAACGCATGATGCTTAATTGACGAATTTATAATGAGCATAACTATTGAACATTTTATTTTATATTTGTGTAAAAGATATTGTATTCGTGAAAAGGATAGTGTTCTTTGATCAAATGACTGAATTAATTTCATGGGAAGGATTAAAGTAATCATGTTTCATCGGATCTTCTTATTGCTCTCCATTTTAATTTCCTTTTAACACTGATATCAGTCTAGCGGTGTCATCAAATCTCAATTAAGTTAATTTATACATCCCCGATTGTCACGTTACGGCAGCCAAATTAGGCACACTCGATTACAAGGGAAAATTTGAGGGTTGGCTATTGATTCGAAGTGGAGGCTTTGGACCGGGCCGGCCTCCTGGGAAATGCCTCCAACTTATACTGTCCACTCCTCAAACCCCACAAATGAAATCAACTGACCACCTCCCACAGTCAACAGAGCCAATCTAATTGTTACCTGGCAACATCACTTTGCCCCGGGCCGTGACTTTTTTGATACAAACAAAAAATAAAATAAAAACGATGTTTCCAGTGATGAAAAATATCTGAATAAAGTCGCTTTGAATTAAAGTCCACGCGTCAAATCGAAAATAATAGGCCACAGAGATTTCCTCGGAATTCTCTTTCAAAGCAGTTGTAAATAAAATACAATCGATTATTGATGAACAAAGGGAGTTGCTATTCCCACATTTCGAATGTTCGGAGTTTGTTTTACTAATAACACTATTGTGTTTATTTTAAAATCTCAATGGGAAAAGAAAGCGAAGAAAAACAAAGTAAGGACGAAAAGATATGAGTGAAAGTATAAAAAATAATTCCGGTCCATGAAAGGTAAATGTCCAATAACCGCTGGGTGATGCGGACGAGGAACCAAATTACTTTAGAGTGAATTTTTTAAACAATTCTCAATTAAAATTCCATGGGTAAGCCGGGATTCGAACAGAGAACTCGATTTGAGGGAGGGATACGTGAAAACGAGAAAGAGAAATAAATGCGATGTAGAAAAAATGAAGTAGAGATAAACAAGGGAAAGTGAAAAAGGAACAGTAAAGGTATGAGGAGAGAAAGTGAGAAGAATAAGAATGAGAAAAGGGAAAATGAGAGAGAGGGAGAGAGAGAGAGAGAGAGAGAGAGAGAGAGNGAGAGTGAGAGAGGGAAAGCAATGCAGTAGTATACCATATCGTCGATATAGATGCTAAAGAACATATGATAAACATCTTTGTCAGACAGCTCAATTAATTTATAACGGCCGTCATTTCTTTCTAGTGTTTATGAGGATTTCGGTTTCTTCTCATTTAAGACCTTTATGATTCTTTGTTAATGAATTCGCCATTACCAAAATATCATATTCACTTCAGGAAAAAGTCTTCATACATGGTACTAAATACCTTCATTCTTCAAACATTTTATCATTAAAAAATTATATTCATGCCAATACAGTAATCTCATTTTATACATAATTAATAAAATACTATTAATTAATAATAATCCTGAGTTCTGGCATGAAAATAAGCATTAATTCTGGCCTAAACAGTTATGTTGCTATGTTTTGAGATTTCCTCTCAAGGTGATGAACCTGTAGTTTTGGCATTTCTGACCATTTATTAACTTTGTTCTTA